GGCGATATAACGGAAAAAGAAATCTACTATAACATACCATAAATTTGACTTTTGCCTGTAACCAATCAATATAATGACAAATAGAAACAAACGTGCGAGTGCGGGTGCGGGTCAATAACTACATTTTTTTCACATGCCAAGATAATGCGAAATGATGGAAGCAGAATCACGATCTAATATATAGCCATAAATACCCAGGTCGAGCGTTTCGGAATTCTTCTAAGTACAATGTGTGATACAGATATCTTCGATTAGATATTCTAAAATAGTAAAATAAAGAAACGTATCCAGTGAAAAATTGTCAAATTATACCTCATTTTGTAAGATTATAATCGAATTTTTGTGCAACAAAATCAAGATTATAATCGATTGGAATCTTTCAAATCAACAATAATTCGATTTTTAATCAGAACGTAATCTTGTAAATTAAATATAGTTTTAATTAAAATCATGTAGTTCTGATTAAAGATAAAGTAAACCAAGTTTGTATGATTTTAGTCGAAATTATGTTTGATTTACAAGATTACGTTCTGATTAAAAATCGAATTATTGTTGATTTGAAAGATTCCAATGGGTTATGATCCTGATTTTGTTGCACAAAAATTCGATTATAATCTTACAAAATGAGGTATAATTTGACAATTTTTCACTGGGTACTTAACAAATAAGTAACAATCAATAAGAAGAATTAAGTACTTACTGTTCGATAAATGCATTACTTTAGATCATCTAGAATAAATAATAAAATAATCTAAAATAAAACTGTATGATATAATATAATGTTTAGCTAAATAATTCTCTTCCTAATTAATATAATTATTATTTAAAATTAAAACTTGACGTTGCGGACAACAATGTCGTCATTCGTCAGGAGTGATTTTACATTTTTTTTTATAGATATTTTATATGTTTCTTTTCGTTTCATTGAATAGTGGTACTATATCATATTGCTTGTTTTATCGTATTGAATTTCTTCTTGAAATTGATTTTATGTTTAATATTGGTGGTCTCTTGGTGAAGGATATTATTCGAAGCATTATCAATATTGTCGTGCCTGTTGATTGAGTTATTTATTCTTGAGTAAATTGCTTCTTTTATTTTTCTTCTTCGATAATCGGTACCGCTATCTATTACAAATGATGAGTTTGGATTAAACATATACTGCCAACGTTTCTGATGATGATGTTGAACCATCTCTGGACTAATATTTCTATTCTCGTATTCTATAATATTGTCGTATTGTTTCATTCTACGTTTTAAACCAACTTTTGTTTCTTCATCATATATTGAACTACATTCTCATTCTATTTGGTACAAGATCACTTTTCATTGTGGTTTGAGGGTGTGGGCGTGGGTGTCAGTCTGGTTCTAATATAACCCACACCCACATCCACACCCACACTCACCCAAAATTCTTTATATTATTTACATATTAGCTCAATTTATCCATTATTATCTTATGTATGGATTCTTCGCCCTAGATATACTTTGGCTACCCTAAAAACTAAAGTCTTTGATTACATCAACTATGAAACCACAATCGAAATCGATCGTGTACCAAATAGAATGTGAATGTGGTTCAATATATATGATAATGGTTTAAATTTATTTTAAAAATATGTCACATAAAAATTTTTACAGAATTTCTATGAAAGGATTTATTTTGAACAAGAATATAGAATTTTTTCAAGCATCTTTTATTATATTTTATATGATAAGAAATGGTATTCTTATGTAATAGTTTTTGTTTTGATTATGAAATAGATCATTATTGAGTTCAATCATCACAAATATATGTTATTACCATTTTTCAATAGCTTTATAATACCTTCGTTTTTATGATTAAATCTATTCATATCTTTTTTATTTATTTCGATATAGTTTCTCTACTTAAATTAAATTATTATGTTTATCAATAGTTTTATTCTTGAAAGATTTTCTTCTGTGGAAAAATTCATTTGACATTTTCAATTCCATCAATTAACAAAACAAAACTATTGAAAGTTTCTTTTTAGTTAAAAATAATATTCTTCTTCATTTTGTTTACTTTTTATTCTTCAATCTTGTTTCGGAATAAAACTCTAAAAATCTATTTTATCAAAAACAAACTAGATTTTTTTGTTATATTTCTTCTCTTCTTGACTTGAAACATCAAATTTTATTCTTTTGAAAAACAGTTAAAACAATTTAATCGATAAAAAAGAAATTTAAAGACGAATTACAGTCTTATCGAAAGTTTAAGAAAGAGATGATGTTTGAAAGTGTAGCAATAGTTTGTTGGTTTAAGAAAAAAAATGCGAGTATTTATACGATGAAAAGTGATTATACTTTTTCAATTATTTCCATCTTCGCAATACAATATATTCTGGGAAAATAGCTATATGTGATATGCTTTTGTTCTAAACTGGGAAATAACTCATTGCGAGAGAAATCAACAGAACAGAAGAAAAAAATATGATACGATCATATTTATATAAAAAGAGAGAAAAATACCCATATTATCATATATGTGGCTGATGTAGAGAACAAATATTTTATTTGTTCGCTTGCAAGTGGTATAGACAAAATTCTTATTCATATCGAAATAATTCAAAAATATCACAAGTTTAGAAATTCAATTGTTTGAAATAGCTTCATTTAGGTAAGTTAGTTTTTTGTAATGATATGAAAAAGGAACAAAAAAGCATATCACATAATAACTATCTTGAGAATGAGAGTGAATGAAAGATCGATATATTATCCATCTGGTGAGTAAATTTATGAGTGCAGATCTATGCTTAATCTTTACCTACATCCAAATCTACATTAAAATTTTTTCGAGTTCTTCTACTACAGAACAAACATTTTAATGTCATTGAGTTATTAACTTAATATATCGATAAAAGCAAAAAAGGAGATATTCATTTCTTTTATAAATTTATATTCAAAGACATGGCAATGGCAAATAACAAAACAGTATGTTTTAAATGTAATAAGAAAAAAATAACATATCCTTGTAAAGGATGTTCAAAAGAGTTTTGTTTAATGGATTTAACAGAACATCGTCACATATTAAATCAAGAATTATATCATATTACTAATGATTATGATCACTTTAAACATAAAATTAATGAACAAAAACCGAATCCACATGATCTTTCTTTAATAGATCGAATTAATCAATGGGAAATAAATTCCATCGAAAAAATTAAACAAAAAGCAAAAGATTGTAGAGAAATTGTCATTAATTCATCACACACATTTTTGAATGATATTGAAATGAAATTTAAAGGTTTAATGGAACAAATAAAACAAATTCGTGAAGAAAATGAATTTAATGAAATAGATTTAATTTACTTAAGAAATCAATTGAGAAAAATCTCTCAGGAATTAAATAATTCGTCAAACATGTCTATTCAACAAGAATCACAATCATTTATTAGTGATATTTCAATTATTTTACCAAAAAGTAAGTTTTTAATAAATAGTTTTAGAAAGAAAAATTTTCATTTTTTATGATATTGTTGAAAAATTATGATGATGAAAAAGAGAAAAAACATCGACAATTTTATTAATTAATTTATTAGTGAGATCAATTCTAACTTGGTGTGTAACAAAGAATTCAATAATTATATTTCGATCTGAAAATCTGTTTAGGGATGATAGATTTATTAATTCCATCTATTTATTTACAGTATAAACTTTCTACAGGGTAGTATTATAGAAAGATGTTTATTGAGAAGAGAATTTCTGGAATTTTTATTATTGTGAGTATTAATTTAGTTATTTAACAAAATTAGTTCTCTTTTCTTGATATTTATTAATGAAGAGAGATGTTTTTTGTGATTGGTAAATAAAAAACACTTTTTAATAAAAATTAGTAGAAATAAACCTATAGAAAGAATATATTGATATTTTATGACAAACATATGAATACATTGGATTGGATTTGAGTTTATTGAAAATTGCGTAATTATGTTAGAAATCTTTATTCTACTATTTTATTCTTTGATATTTCAACAAATTGATATCTATACTGAAATCAGTAGACGTTCTATATTTGTAAATTTCATTGAAAATGAATCTTTTCTTTTGTCTTCGACTAATAAACAATTTTCTTATTCTTCTTCTTATATAAAAATCTTTTGTTTTATCATTTTCTAGAACCAAAATACAACAAATGGAAACAAAATGCCATCACTGTAGCTGGTGGAAATGGGCTAGGACAAAAATTAAATCAGCTCACTCACCCTTATGGAATCTTTATTGGTGAAAGCAAAAATATTTTCATTGCTGATTGGCATAATCATCGTATTGTTGAATGGAAACATAATGCAAAGGAAGGACAAATCATTGCAGGTGGAAATGGGGAAGGAGATCGAATGGATCAATTGAATTGTCCAACGGACATAATTGTTGATCAACAAAAGCATTCGATCATCATTGCAGATTCAGGTAACAGACGAGTGATTCAATGGTTAAATCAAAAGCAACAAACTCTCATTCAGAACATTGACTGTTTTGGCTTAGCAATGGATAAGCATGGATTCCTTTATGTTTCTAATTCGACGAACAATGAAGTGAGAAGATGGAAAATGGGAGAATACAATGAAGGAGTTGTAGTTGCAGGTGGAAATGAACAAGGATATCAACTTAATCAACTCAACTATCCTACTTTTATCTTTGTTGATGAAGAGCAAACTGTTTATGTATCAGATTGTGACAATCATCGTGTAATGAAATGGAGAAAAGGTGCAAAAGAAGGAACAGTGGTGGCTGGAGGAAATGGTCATGGAGCAAATCTTAATCAATTGTCTACACCTCACGGAGTAATTACTGATGATTTAGGTCAAATCTATATGGCAGATAGGGAGAATCATCGAGTAATGCGTTGGTGTGAAGGAAAAGAAGAAGGTGAAATTGTTGTTGGT